CCACTAATGAAGACAGGTATGTTAGAAATGGAGCAGATGGCTGTTTGCCTGCTGTTAAAAGCTTGGGGCTATGAATTCAAGGCTTTTCTGACAAGCGGCAGATGACTTTCAGTATAGCTTAAATACACTGATTCTATAATAAAAAACAAAATAATCAGGAAATATGTCGAAGTGGGTGAGTTCCAGGCAAATCGAAAAGTCTTTAAATGCTTCTAGTGGCACCTGAACTCTCGAACAGTAGACTTAGGCCTACTCTGATTAAATTTATCTCATGGACTGCCCAGAAACTCATCTGCACTGTTCTTTCTTATCAGAATTTTAATTACAGGCTGTAAAAAGTTAAAGTTATTTTCTGGTTTGAATTTAAGTTAAATTAACCTATACAAGAGACAATCAGCTAACACAATGTTTACTTTCCTAACAAAAATGACACAAATTCAGCTTACTTTTACTCCATAGTTCTTCACCTGCAGCATCTTCCTTTATCTTTAATATAACTTAAAGGCTATGAAATTGTTGACGTGACTGACAGGAACTGTGAACACATGAGCTGATTTTGGTTATTCTACATGAGAGATTTCTGTGTTTAGATTTAGTTATAGTGCATGTTCCTACACAAAGAATAAATGTAATTTGTGGTTATTAATGTCGCTCTACTGCAAAGCATCATCCTTGCACTTTATCACACAACCACAAGATGCCAGTATCACATTGTCTTGGATTAGGTTGATTTAAAAAAAAACAACAACAACAAAACAAAACAAAAAAACATTTTATGAAAGTGTTGATTAGTTAATTTTTTTCCCTCGCAATAAGATGCAAGAAGATTTTCAGTCAGAGAAAGAAGTGGAGGGGACCAGGGGCTGGCAGATGCTGCAGACAGCGCATATTCTTAAACAGAAGGGTGTGTGTTTATGTGTGTGTGAAAGGGGGAGGGAGGGAGGATTGAAGGGGAGGGAGAAAGAGAGAGAGCAAAACTGGGTGTCAAAATCTTGAGCTCTGAGAAAGCCTCCCAGTCTGTGTGTTGTGAGGGGAAGCAGCAGCACAGTGAAGGTTTCCAGTTGGGAGAGAGTTTAAAGAAAGTGTCTGTTTAGGATATCGGAAAGTTCGCTTTGCCTGAATGAAACGCAGCAGTGGATGGCTCGTGAAGGTTATGCACAATGGAGAAGATTGGCTTTCAGTGCTTTGCTTGGATACTTTTGAAAGGAACCATATGTCTGGTGAGTGAAATGAATGGTAGCATTAAACACATTATACATTCAAAGTTGAGTTATGCTGCATTTTAAGAGGGTTTTGAAAATATTTCAAGTTCTACATATTTTAGATTTGATGCATTATCCTAATGACGACTTTCTTTGCAGACTTAAGTTTCTTAAAACATGCTGAGTGAGGTTTAACAATATTTGTGTGGTGTGTGAGTCTGACAATATTAAGAATACTTCTCAAAAACTCAACAGTTCTTTCAAATGAGATTCTATTTAATTGAAGCAATTCTGAGACAATATTTCCAAAACGTTTGGGATTTTTTTTGTTGATTTGTTTTTAATCGTTCATGCTAGCACTTAGTTTACTTCCCGATGGGGTCAGTCTATAACTTTCTCCTGTGCTTATTTTTCTAGTTGGTTCTTGGACCACACCAGACACACAGCAACTTTACCTTCACCAAGAGAGCACCGCCTCATCCCAGCAGGGCTCACGAGGCTTCTTCACAGCAGAAGAACTCTGTGCTTCAGTCCAGGAGTCTAACTCAGCACACCAAGCTGCCCCGTAATCCCTTCATCCCTCTTTCAAAGCAGGGATTTGGGGAAATACTTGAAGGAAACTCACAACCGCACTCCAAGCCATCATTAAAGATGAAGCTTCAGCCCATCATGAAAGTTCATGGAACATCTAAATGGTCCGAGACCTTCATCTGGGGGGACTTTTATTCAAATATAAAGACGGTCAAACTGAATTTGCTGATATTGGGGAAGATTGTGGATCATGGGAACGGGTCTCTTGGCGTCTACTTCCGCCACAACTCCACGGGGGTAGGCAACGTGTCCGTCAGCCTCATGCCACCGACGAAAGAGGTGGAGTTCGACTTGGAGCGCCAAAGCGTGATCCACCCCAAGGATTCAAAGACGTTCAACTGCAGAGTGGACTCCGAGAAAACCGAACGCAACAAGAAGGTGATGCTGTGCAACTACGACCCATCAAAGACATGTGATCAGGAGCACACCCAGAGCCACGTCACCTGGATGTGCTCCAGGCCTTTCCAGGTCATCTGCATCTACGTGTCTTTCTACAGCACAGACTACAGACTGGTTCAGAAAGTCTGCCCGGACTATAGCCTGCAAAGTCCAGCCTACCTGCCTGCAGGTTAAAGGACACTGGAGAGTGATGTCTCAGCAAGCCTCTATAGAGAAATCCAGTTAGTGCAGCTATGAGCCAGTTTGATGGATCATTTTGAGGTTCTTCAAGAAATTCGGTTGAAAAGTGTTTTTAAGTTCACTTTAGTTTCTATGTTTTTAGTGCAAAAAATGTGCCTGCGTTAAGATTAAAGTGTTTTAGATCATGTAACAAAAAAAGGTTAGGGTGCAACTAAAAGTGAGTGATTTACCTGGCAATTGCTTTCTTAATTATTCTTTGAATATATGGTTTTATGAAACCACAGTATTGTGAAAATACTCACAAAAATCTTGATATTTGCTCTTTTTCTGAACTGTAGTTACCAACAAAAAGGCAGTGGTAGTACTCAGCAGATTAATCAGCTATTCCCTTCATGTTTCTTTGTTTTTTCAGGTTTCTTTGGTTAAAGCAGACAATGGTAAGTTTTTGGTTTAATAAAAGCCAAGATATAGTCATCCTCTAATGTTGTTGTAGCTGCAGGACCATAAATACTTGTGGTCCTGCAAATCAGTCCTTCAAAATTGTTTTCATGCCACTGTAATTTTTTTTTAAATAAAGAATTTAATTTCTTTTCGTGTAATAATTTGAATTTATTTATATTTTTATATGATTCTTGATATGAACTCACCCACTCAGAAGAGCTGCAGGCTATAAAAGATGAAGCGCACAGGTTTAAGCTTTGTGTTATTCCAATACATCTTGCTTTCCATTGCTAACAAAGTATGCTTGTCGTTGCCACACGTGCAGGTTCGCATTATCTTTGAACAGCTGGCAGGTTAAACAGGCATGTCAGACTGTCTTTGAATAAACCTCAGTCTTATAACCTTGTTAAACTGTGTCTGCAGTTTAAACCCAGAGTGGCTCAGAGTGAAACTAAGGTGCACGCGAGAGTGCAGGGGTATGGTTCAGGAAACGGTTCAGGAGGTGCAATTAAACACATCTGCTCGATCACTGCACTCAAGGCACTGGCAACTAACCTTTTCTGCCGGGCAGATGGATGTTTAATGACCCAGACACAGCCGCTAACTCGATTAAGTAGGTGACAGAGGTTAAAGACACCCCTCACCATCCACCACTGTTTCCAGCTGCTCCCGGAGTGGCTGGAAACAGCAGGGAGAACGCTTCTGTCAACAGCTGCAAGTGCAGTCAGCCATATTACGGAGTCTCAGCATCCTATGCAGCATACTGCTTTTTCTAAATTAGCAAGGACAGAGTGGTGGGAGGACCATCCACTACCAAAGACATATTAAAGTTCTATGCAGACATTTGATTTCAGCTTCTCTGCAGGGCGGCACCAGGAAGTTTTCAGTAAAGTGAAAATAATATATGGATAAGAGTGATTTGAAATCGCAAACTAACCTAGATAATTCTCCTTGCTGACAATTACAGTGAACAACACTTTTTAAAAATGGACTAAATGTTCTTTGTGCAATCTACTGTCCCCTGTTGGTTTAAGGTATTTCCTGTTGGTTTCTCTTGTCAGGCCTAGAGAATATCAACAAAGACAGTACCCCCCTTCAGTTTTTTGAGATTTTCAGATTGCTTTTTGAGATTGCTTATACAGTTCTCTTAAATTCCTGCAAGGGTAATCCAGCACTTTAGAAAAAAAAAATTCTGTCATTCTGCCGCTTTGTTGCTGGGCTCAATATTATTGCGTTTGGTTTCAAGTAGATGGTTTACTCAGACTGCAAGGTCCTTAAATTCCGTGGCTGCAAAAAAAAAAAAAAAAAAAAAGCCCAAAGCATCGCCCCTCAACCACTGTACTTGACAGTTTTTTTGAGGTGTTTGTGCTTATATGCTGTTATTTTCACCAAACGTGGCGCTGTGCATTATGGCCAATCTATACCACTGTTCAAAAGATTTTTTGCCAAAGTCTCGTGGTTTGGTTAGATGAGACTTGGCTGTGCTGCCATGTTCTTTTTAGAGAGAAAAGGTGTGCTCCTGCTAATTCTTTAAAACAAGCCACACTTTCTAATAGTAATGTCATGAAATTTGGGTGACACCTAACTCTTGGGTTTGTTTTTTAATTTCTATTTTTCCTTTCCACAGTTTCTCAGTGTTGCACTGCATTGAATGTTCACATTCAATACATTTGCTAAATTGCCAGCACCTGGTTGCCTCTTACCCTGTAAATTCTTATGGAAGCAAGAGGTATACTTAGTTTTAAATTTTAAAAAATGACACCGTGTAATACATCACGTGTTGTGGTTCATCCAATCACAAGACCTATGGATCAGATTATTATTGTTACACAACATTGTTATGTAAAACCTTAATACTTCTTTTTACCTTGACTGTACATATCTTTTATACCGTCCATTGTTATGAACAATATCTATGATTTATTGTTCTCCTAAGCTGCTATACAGTGAGTAATAATAGACTGCAACAACATCTGCCAGAATTTGGGTATTGGAGACAGAATATAGTCTATATATAATAATTAATAGCTAACGATCTAAGACATTTAGGATACAGTCTGTGCTCACTTCAAAATATTTTTCTGTGGCAAAACTCCACAAATTCTCTTTCCTTTGGAGATTTATGTGCTTTTAAGCAAACATTTGACTACAACATACATAACTCAGAGAGAAATACCCAGACAAAGCTTGCACTGCATTCAATACAAAATAGTTGTGGTTTATTCTTTTGGGAACAAAAAATGGCAACAACTAAGTGTCACTTCTCATATTCAGCGATATCTACAGGAAAGAAACAACAATGGTTCCTTCTATCAATTACCATTTTTCACCAGGTTAAAATGATAACTTCAAAAATGTATTTCATATGGTTTTACCTTGGTGTGCATGTGTTTCACATTATGTCTATTCTGAACATTAAAACGTGTTCATTTCAATTTCATTTCCCTTCAGTCTTCATGCCTGCAAAGAATTTCTCTGTTGAAAATGCTTTTGTTTAAACACAGCTTCAAAAGCACTGGTGTCTGTACAAATTCCCATGAAGAAAAAAAAATAGAAATAACATTTTTGAGGGAAAAAAAAAATACCTCTCATAAAATAACATCGACACGCCTTATCGGACTCTAATGTAACCATTTCTTAACCTCCCTTTGTTGTCTTCTAGTAGGTTTGTCTGTCTACACCTTGGACATCATTTTCTCTCAAGGGCTACAAAGAGATCCAGACACAAAACAAATTTCCCCAAGAATGACATCCAGTTGTGCGTTGCTATTTTCCGTATCCTTTTTAAACTGGTTTTCTCCACTAATTAAAAAACAAACAAAACAAAACAAAACAAAACAAATGAAAACAGATGCAGATGAAGTTTGAAGAGTTCTACATGGGAGATCATGTGTTGGTTTTTTTTGTCACTTGCTGATAAATCTTCTTAAAGGGTACTTGTTCTTGGTGGTCCAGCTGGGTCTCTAGTCCAAGAAGCTTGCGTCAATGTGTGCTTGCCTACAGTATTTCTACTTTACTGCTGGTAAGGGTTGACACGGGGGTGACCTGTGAATTTAGTGCAATGTTTTCCCCACTTTCTTTGGGAAAATTTGATGATTTTAGGCCCATATCTGCTCTTGCTGCTTCTTTTTTGTTTTTTTGACTAGCCCTTGGTTGTCTTTCTTGGGGTCTTCTAGTTTGAAAGGCCCATTTCATCTTCTTTAGTCCCTCACAGGCCCACGTGTCCTTTAGTTTTTGGGCTTCTCTCACAGCTCTACTCCAAACACTAAGAACAGAGCAAAAAAAGAAGCCATGTGATAAAATAGACACTTAAAAGACCTTATCTGCAATAGTCCTTCAAGCCTCCAAGTTTCAAAAACGGTTGGCTCTTGTTGGGTTCATGTGTCCAGTTCTTCCTCCTGAACAGATTCCAAAGTAGGAACTACCAAGGATTTTGGATTTATTCACGGAAAAGAGACCTCACTAAACCAGAGCCGAGGAGAAAGGAGAGGGTGCTGTGGGTTTTTCTTTTTCCTTTGTAAACAACAAAACATCCACTTAACAATCCCACTTCTCCCTCTCGTCCATCTCTTCCTCCTCCTTCCCTCCATCTTTAGAAGAGACTAAATACAGCAGGTTCTGGATGGGGCAGAAGGGGGAGATTTGGGGAGAGGCTGTAGGTAGTGTAGTAGGTAACAGCAAGGGGGAAAGGTTGTCCCTGTGTGTTTGAGGGTTGGGGGGGGATCTGTGTGTTTTTGTGAGTGCATGTATGTGCAAAGGTGTGAGTTTGTATGAGTGTGTGTGGATGCCTTCCTGTGGGACTGTTAGGACTGTTTGAGGCGTTTGCGTGGGGGTCCGAGGAAAGGGCACTGAGCAGAAGCCAGGGAGCGATACGCTTCAGCCACCAGGTGCGGATGAGACGCCACCATGGACTTCCAGCCTGCTGTCTCCATCACCTCTGCAGCATGGCTGGTGGATGAGATGAGAAAGGAAGAAAATAAAAAAAGATTACAAATCAAGTTTTCCTTAAGTAAACACATGCATAACAAATGTACAGACAGGCAACCTGGAAATCCTAAATAATGGCAGATTGTTTGGATCCAATTTTCCTGTGAATAGTACAGACTGCGTGAAACCATTTTACAGGTGTTATACTTCTGCCAAGGTCCACTTGAGGCTGATTGACTGAAATTTCCCTGTAAGATGGTGAGCGTGTGGCTTTGCCAATTTTTAGTTATCATGCAGACTTTGTGGAAAATTTACACAACAATGCTCCAATTACTGTGCCTTCAGACTTCAAAGAATGATAACAGGAATGACTGCTGGGCTGTGGTGACTCCAGCTGCTGGTTTACAATCGTGCTCAAAAGATACAAAATCTCCATTTCCAGTTAAAAGTTTATCCTTAAAGTAGGAGCCAGAATCAGGAGTTCAACTAAAGCTTAAGGGAGAGTTGGAAGCCTAAACCGGTGTAATCCCACATCATGACTGAGATTATAGTGACAATTTTTTTTTTCTAATATACTTTTTATTCATTATTACCTGAAAGTAGTGAGAGCACAAAGTCATCAGTGAAGTGTTCACAGAGGTCACAGATCAAGGGAAGCGATGGGCATTTTCCCAACAGACTGTTACACTTTCAGTTAAAGGTAAACATCGTGTAAACATAATGGTAATTTTATGATTTTTAATGATTTCGTTCTCATCTTTTATGCCTTAAAAAAAAAAGAAAAAAAAAAGAGAGATGGGTGCACAAATTTTAATTTTGGATTTTCCTAATCCACACAGGGTGAAAATAACACATACAGCCTCAAATATATACATACCTTCTACTAATATTTGGTTAAATGTCCCTTAGCAAGTTGCACCTTTTGGTAACCATCAACAAACTTCTGGCATGATTCAGCCTGAATCGTCTTGGCAGAGTAGTTTCATGGCATAAACCCAGCTCTTAAGCTTAGCTCACAAATTTTCAACAGGGTTGAGGTCGGAGCTTTGGGAACACCATTACATAGGCTTGTGGAAACATCTGACCACACCTGTACATACAGACTATAGCCCTGACGGTCACAGAACTAGCCGTTTGCTTCCATACACTTCATTCTGTTGTCTCCTATTCAAAAGCAGACTCAGTTTTTCTTTTGTACCACAAACTGAAACTCTTTCATTCTCCCATTTTGCCCGATAAATAACAATTAAATGGACACATAGTAGCAGTTAAGCGGAATCACATGCTAATGCAGTTCCTCAATCATACAACATCCTCCCTTCATTTATGCTTCTATGGATACACAGCGAGTTTGAATCCTTCTGATGGAAAAATGTTTTGGGGACAAAGAAGTCCATATTGAAAAGATATAATTATATTATATTATGTTAGCAGAAATGTTGTTAAATCATGTTTTGTCGAGCCACATCGCCCGGCCCTACATTAACAAAAAAGAAAGAAAGATAATAGTAATATCTGAGCCCACCATCAGCACAGACGTGTGTTAATATCACACTTTCAGTCAACAGAGGAGGTGACAACAGACTAGTGAGGAGTCAGGTTGCCCCGATCCCTATGAAAGCCATGGCAGGGTTTAATAATATCAGGCAGACCACTCCACGGGGGCATATGTGAAATTAAAATCACTAACTGGCACAGAGCCATCAAGAGATGAGGCGAGCTCAGGTACTACCTGTAATGATTCCAAGATAAAGAAGAACGACAAGAACCATACTGACATGACAGAGACAGGATGTACAGTGGATGTGGAGGACCTGCGAGTGCGTGAAAAAGGTGTTGGAAACCCTATTGCATGTGACGATGAGCTCTTTTTTCTTCAACTTACTAGTTAATGAAGTCGACGGCCTGCGTTTTGAGCTGGTCGGCGCTGTGCAGGTCAGCGAGGATCAGGATCTCAGCAGCGTTTTCCACAGACAGGCTAGTGCACAGCGCGTCCTCACACATGACCTTCAGTCTCTCCAGAGCATACTGTAAAAGAGTGGATACAAGAAGATTGGCAGTTTCCTCTTCTCCATCAGTATCTATGTGGTCTCTGCTGTCACAGTTGACCATTCCAGTGTTCAAACACAAAGCTTCGTTTCGTCTTGTTGTCAGTGGGGTCTGATCTATAAAATATATTATGTTTTAAAGAGATAAATAGGAGAGTAGGATATAAACATTTCAATGCTCGACCTCTGAGGGAAACTGTCTCAAAGCCAGCTCCACATTTGGTGTCATGGAGGAGTGAGATCAGCGTTAAATCATCCAACTGTTCACTGAAATCATAAAGTCTTACTGGGAAAAGGTTTACTGGGTACACTTGTATCATGCCATGCATTAATGCAACTAATTATCTTTACCTCAAGGGATTTCTGAAAGCTCGCTCTGCAAAATATACTTAGGACTAATTACAGTCTATAAGCTCTGTAGTTGTATAAGGTTTTGTCTGCACTAGATTATCAAGAGAAGAAAGGAGGGAAAAAACATGTTAGATGAAACATTTCATGTGTAGTTGTTCATTATTCTCCAAAAACTGACAGAGAGCCCTCAGAAACAGTGCTGAGCTGTGTGGTAGCATCCAAACCTCATTACAGTAACTTCTGCACTGGTCATGTGACACACACTCTGTAAAAAAGCCCTTTTGTTTTATAGCCACAGTCACTGCAGAAGCAGGTGGGGTGAATTGATGAATGCAGTTTTTCTGAGGGTCACAACCCCCCCGAATGATTTTTTTTTCTTAACAGAATTCGATCCAAGCTCTCTGTGGGCTTGATTCAAAAGGTCTCTCATACACATGCTCAGTGGGCTCGAATTCCTCCATTGTCCACTAATTGCACCGGTTGACAGTTCAATCCCCACATGTTAAGGTGCCCTTGGGAAAGACACTGAACACCAGGTCACTCCCCAATGGCAGGTAAATCAAATTTTTTCCGAGCCTTAAAAACCCCAGAAAATGGCTCGTTGTATTTGAGTTTTATCAATTCAGTCATTTGTAATTTTATTTTATCCCATTCATGTTCACAGAAAGCCAACAGCAACACTAGTCACGCACGAGCTCTGTGGCCTCAACGTGCAGGTGCCTCAAACTGTAGAAATCCTGAGTATGTGGCCATGTTACAAACAGGCAACAGGCTTTCCCACATCCACAGAGTGTCGGGTAGCAGCTTCCCACTCTTATATTACCTTATCAGCTGCTGCAAGCAAGTCATCTGCCATTTTGTCCAGGTTTGGAGCCTTGTCTGTGTAAATGAAGCACATCATCTCTTTGAAAACCTCGGGCTCCACATCGTTGATCTCCACACGATTCTGACAAGACACAAGGGATGGAGACTGAATGAAGCATCGATGACATGAGCTTTAACTGCACTTCAACAGCACATTTGTATCACACCAGAAAAATTTAAATCCAACCTGATTTTATTTATAAAGCACTTTTTAAAAACCAAGAGTTACAAAGCACGAAAGCACCACAGAACAATAAAACAATAATAAACGAGGGTAAGAACACACTTTCTCATTTTTTTTTTATTCCTCGAGTTAAAAGCCAAGGAATAAAAATGAGTTTTAAGATGCGTTTTTGAAAACAGGGAAATAATTCCATAATTTGGGGATGATAGCTGATGAAGCTTGACCCCTGGTTTTCAGACAGGTTTCTGGGACTTTCAGCCGGTCCTCAGCGACCTCAAGGAACATGTAGTTCAGCAGGTCACGTGCAAAAATATATATAGTGGTGCTGATCCATTAAGAGGTTTTAAAAAGAAATAATAAAATCTTAAAATGAATCTTAAAAATGAACGTAGAGCCAGTGGAGGGAAACCAAGACAGAGGAAATGAACCTGTGGTATTTTGAACTAACTGTGATCACAGGAAGCGTTACTAAGGCCAACATAAAGCCCATTACAGTTCTCCAGACACACTGTGTTAAAGGATGCTCAAAAACATTTAGAAATAAAGCAGATTTGATCTCGTATAAAAGCCTCAAGTGGTAAAAAAAACAAAACAAAAAACATTTAATGGCATCATTTATCTGCTTATCTAGTTTAAACTAGAGCTGGGCGATAGAACGATAACGATATGTATCGCGATATAACTTTTACTCGATAGAGAAATTAAGCTATCGCGATAGACCTCGCCGCTCTTGTCCTCTTAAAATAAAATTTAAAAAAAAAAAGAAAAAAAAAAAAAAAAGAACAGCCAATCCAAACTAAGTAGCGCAGAGCCGAACCAATCACAGCCGCAGCGTCACGTCGCGTGACTTGTTACGTACAGCACAAGTGCCAAGCCGCACGTGTGTTTGTTTGGGAAGCAGCCAGCGGGTAATGGAGGAAATGAGTGTGCCGACTAGAAAAATCAACCGAGCGTGACCGAAGAGAAAACAGATGATGGTTCCAATGCCGGAGAGATTGTCGAACGGAAGAGCCATAGAAGTTCCGTAGTGTGAAGGTATTTCGGCTATTTCAAGTCTGACAAAAAACAGAGTAGCGTGCACTGTAAATTGTGCCGAAAGCAAGTCTGGAAATACAATAAACTGGTGCATGCGTCACACTGTGCGCCACGTTATTGTTTCGGTGAAATGAATTTCTACAATACTGTTACTGTTAATTCTACTCTCTGCAGTGTTTAAATGCTTACATATACACACAGTTACTGTCCCTCCACACATACGACTCGGTTCTGCTTCTATGCCCCAGCTTTGTTTACTTTTTCCCACCGAGGCTTCTAGACTTCTGATTGGCCAACATTTCTGCACGGTTAGGAATCTAGCGCCACCTGCTGCTTTGGCATGTTCATAGCAGCGTTTTCCTTCATTTCTGCCTTTATGTGTGGACGGGATTATTTTTTAAAACGAAAACGGAAAATCTCCGTTTTCAAAAATACCCGTGTACGCGTGGACGTAGCCTCAGTCTCTGACTGGAAGCGCTAATTCGTCATTCGGCTTTTGTCAGACTAAAGTAACTGTTACAACTGTTTGAAAAGCTAAGCTATACAACAAGGAGAGATTGAGAATTTCCTTTTAGTTCTCAGTTTATGTCAGACTAAAGTAACTGTTAAAACTGTTTGAAAAGCTCAGCTATACAACAAGGAGAGATTGAGAATTTCCTTTTAGTTCTCAGTTTATTTGATATTGACAAAAGTTAGTCAATTTTGTCTGTTCTTCTGTAAAACAAACTAAGATTTATTTTTAGAATTAATATTTTGTTTCTAAGTGGAATTGACAATTTAGTAGTCTGTTTCGTTTGTCCTATTTTGAAACTTAAACGCTTTAGTGGCTGCCTTTTGTGTAGTTTGCAATATTTGCCTTTATTTATCTGAAAAAGTCTCATGTTCCTTAAGTACATCTACCCTGTTGAACTTATTATGGGAAATAAATATTTAAATAAAAACAAGCTGCTGATTATTTCACATTTTACTTGTGAGCAACGGCACATTTAAATCTTACAAATATACTTATTTGGCTTATATCGTGATAGATATCGTTATCGCCTGAAATGAAAAAAACATATCGTGATATGAAAAAATCTCATATCGCCCAGCTCTAGTTTAAACACAGTCACAGTCCACTATGCGTCTAACATGTAGCTGCTCAGAGGGGCACAGGTCCAGGAGAAGATCAGCACACTGGGTCAAAAACAATGACCTCATTCTTAATAAAAATTATTTATACTGCTGAGATGCAGAAATCAGTAATTAAGCAGCTTTACATGAGCAAGAGAACATTTTTTATTGAAATATTTGGAGTGCACTTGCATATTCATCAAGTAAGTGTGAGACTGTCTTGCATATCAGCCTAGTGTGATCCATTATTTATACCTACATTAGCAGTCACTTAATAATACCCATAGGCATTTGTGGTTAAATTACTGAAAGGGTTCAGTTTGGCTGAATTCAGTATTATCTGTAATTTAATAAATTCATAAAGGCCATTTTATCCCAACCACTCCTGCAATCTCACTTCTTACACTCACCTGTGCAAAAATGAAAAAGGAAAAAAAAAAAAAAAAAAAAGCTATTCTGTGCATCTGCAGCTTTGTCAGTGAAGGATGAATCCTGACCCCCAAGATCGGCAGGACAATTGCATTTCAGCTGTGCTATCATTCAGTTTCACCAAACGGCTCTGTGCTGCAGCCATTTGACAGCACGCAATCCTTCACTCGTTTTAACCTCACATCACGGCAGTGAAAATCTGAGGATTTAAAAAAAAAAAAAAAAAAAAAAGCTTTGGGACCTTGGGTTTACCTTTTTGCTCTCTTCCATCTCGTGCTCAAACATGGCGCTGAATACTGGGGAACGTGCTAGGAAACAGGAAGAGAACAACTTGCAGTCATGGCGCTAATTAGCAAAAACTTGAATAAATTTCAATATATAACATGAAGAAGACGCTTGTACCTGCTAGGATGGCTTTATGTGCTTGAAACTCCTGGCCAGCCACACACAGGGAGCAGTCTGTGAAACGTGAGTTCTCCCACAGGCCGCCCAGCTCGTCTGCTAGCCGGCAGTCGGGTACCTTTACCATGTTCATGGTGTTCTGACCAGAAATGTTGACAGAGTCCTGCACCACACTCACCTCAAGGGGACAAATGTAATGAAATGCAATGCGTCAAAAATGCAAGGTCAGAAAGAAAAGGCAACAGCAAAATGTAGCCACGTACCTCACAGAAGAGCGTGAGCTTGTCATCAGGTAGAAGGCCGTTGGCCTCATCTAGGAGGAAATCTCTCCGGATGAACTTTTTAAAACCCCAATCCTTCCCCTGGACAAAACGATACGCCCTCTGGCTTTCTGCAGACAGAGCAGACACAGAGAAGCCACGATAAGGAAAGTCTAAGAAGAAACTATTTTACAAAAGCTCAATGCAGAAAAATTATTAACGCCTACAAAATCTGAAAATGTGTCTGTTTCACTGAATATTCTGTACTCACCCATGGCTTTGGTCTCCTCTCCCTTGGCGTTGAGGATAGAGAACTTGAACTTGGCACGCACCTCGGCTTTTGGACAGCTGACCAGCAGCAGGTAGAGGGACAGGTAATCTTTGCTCTCCTCATCCAGGCCCTTGGGATTCACCCGCAAACACCTGATGGGGACAGAAGATTCAACAAGAAGGTCAATGTAAAAATGTATTAACCCTTATTAGTATGTGTCATTCCTAACCAGTAGGACTGGGCTATATTATACCGTTCACGGTAATAGCGGTGTAATTTTGGGCAACGATAGGAAAATGAAATATCGCGATAGAATATGGGTAAAACGCGCATGCGCAGTGCCTTTGTTTACATACGCACATGGCGGCGACGCAGAATGAGAAGAGCAAAAGCAGATCGTTGAATGAAACAGATGAACCAGAATTGGTTTGTAAAAATGCTGCAACGACAGTGGTGTGGAACTGGTTTAGCTTTCGTTCGTCAGATACACAACAAAACACTATTTTTGGTAGAGCATGCTAGCGGGCCGTCGTTATTACAGTGTTGTTTGGAAAATACGGCACACTTAAAATTAATCCTTTGATTTTTCTGAAAATCGACAGTGCCCCTCATAATCCCGTGTGCCTTATGTATGAACTCTGGTTGTGTTTACTGACCTCGAAACAATTTTATGTGATACACGCTCAAAAATCTGTCAAATGTTTTAGAACGACTTTGCTACACCGCTTGATGGATTGTCGGAGCATTACGGCTGCTCCCTCGGCAGGCAGGAGCCTCGCAGAGTGATACGTACTGCGCTTCAACATAATATTACCGTATTGTGTGTGTGTATAAACTCTTTTTAAGTTTTGTGGATTTTATACATGGTTGTGCTCAGGATATGTCGGCCAATTTCCACTGGAAATGCCTTTTGGTTAAACTGTCAGCAATGAATTTGCAGTTGCACTGTTAAATTTTTATATAACTTTAATGCACATAAAAAACAGCTGCTTGTTTAAGTGAAAATACATTATTAGTGCAAAAACCCCCATCAAAGTTGTGGAGTTGTAAAGCATTTTGTCTAGTGTCAATTATATCGTCAGTTATATCGTTATCGCAAATTTTCAAATGTATATCGTGATAAATATTTTTGGTCATATCGCCCTGCTCTACTAACCAGACTATTATGCTGTGCAAGGAAAGTGCAGAAGTTGCACACCAGGAAAGTTTAATGATTTCTTTGTTTTGGTGTATAAGGCTCTTTTATTGAAGTTGTACTAGAGGTCATTCATTAAGGCTAAATCAGGCTAAACCTGTGTTATAAATCTACATTTATGTTACGTTTGTACAGATTAAGAGATTTTAAAAAGAAATCTGATTAAAGCTAGGATGCTACATAAGGAAATGTTAGCCACACTTTTTTGGATTTCCATGAGAATCCACAGTGAGAGATTTCTGAGAGATTAGAGCTTGGATGGCTCTAACTGAAATGATATTTGAGCAGTTTGCTTGACTGTTTGTAAACAGCTTGAAAGGCCTTCCATCAGACAGATTATTACATCTGTGTGTGTCAGTCTGAGCGGGATTATCCAAATGTTTGCAACAAAGCAGCCCTCATTCTGACGCACCATTTCAGCTTGTCATTGGCCCCAGAAGAGAAGGTGGAGCTCTTGATGACTTCCCCCATCTCCTCACGACAGAAGCTGAAGTTATTGATGGTCCACATGTAAGAGAACTTCACCACTTTGATCTGTTAAAAGGAAGAATACATTCAGAAAAGGCTTAGATTCATTAATCCGAGGTTCAATCAGACAGCGAGCCTGAAACAAGAGTCATTTCACCTGAGTGTAGCACCAGCTCTCGGCCACAGGCCCGCTGGACATTTCCGCAGGGGAGGGGACTCGGGACTCTTGACATTGCCAGTGTGACAGATGTTTGGGGCAAGAGGGTGAGGAAGAGGAATCTGTCACTTCCACTCGTCAGTGTTCAGCCCAGACGTCCATCTGCATCGGTGCGTGTCACATGGAAGCTGTTTGCCCCTGCAGGCAGAGAATGTGATGAATTAGTCTGAACCATACAAATGTTTAAGTTTCACTCACACACTGTACAAAAAAAAAACCCAAAAAAACATTTTACTGTGATGCCTCCATCAACCACTTGAGCTGCAGTTTATATCCAGACTGTAGAGACTAGTGCATGAATTCATGAGTTGTGGATAAAAAAAATAAAAAATAAAAAGGGAGGTTGCAGGGACCTTGAATTTCTGATCAAGCTATCCTTGAGTTTAAGTAAAAGTTTGCAAGTGACCTCGACCTTAGCCTGAACATTTGAGCCAAATTTGAAGTTATTCCCTGGAACAGGTTAAGCCATACAGTGTTCACAGAGACAGGACACTGGCGCTGGATCTTTCATTAATCTAGGTGAGACCGAATATCATTTCATTCGTGTGGCCCCTGCTGCACAATACTGAGGTTTGTTGGCTTGGAGTTAGATGAATTGTCCCTGACCCACTGGAGGACAGCAGGAGATCGATGGCACCATGCCTGTTCTAAGATCAATAACTGCTGCAGCTGCAATTAAGTCTCAAAAATGAACTGTAAATAAACAAGCCGTCTCCTAGGACTGTGCTAGGAATTTGGACCCACTGGCCACGCTCCCTAATTAACTTAAAGTCACACAGAAGCGCCATGCAGATCAGTACATGCACACACGCACGCACGCACGCACGCACACACAGAACAGACTTCATTCCTTACACACAAATAAGCCACAACATTAAAGTGTTTATATTGATTATCTTGTTTTAATCCAAGATTCTCATGAGAAGCCTTTCTGCCCTGACATTCACACACTCCCAAAGCTGCCCGGGAACAGCTTGAGGAAGTTTGGAAGACAACAGAGTCCAAAGCTTAACTCCAAACTCCCCATTTCTCCTAGTAAAAAGGTGGTGTCAACCATAAGGCTCAGGGGCCTGACTGCTTCATGTCTCTATTGTAATCTAAACATCAATAAAAACCTACAAGTCAAATATCAATCCACAACTGAAAAGACAAAGAACAAGTGCAATATTTTCCCTCTTTAAGGAAAGTTTAATACAACCGTTCGCCTCTTTTGTAGGTGCCCTTTAAAAGATTTAAATAAATATCCGTTTATTTTTTTTTATTTTGTGGGAAATTAAGACAAACGGGGCTTTAAAAAGCTTTGAAATTTGATCTAACAATCTAGTTTTGTTGATGTTATATGGTATATAACACAAAAAAATAGTTCCCCACATCTAAACACAGAATTGTATAGTGGGTTTTCACGGTGCGTCATCAAACTGGAAGTCGCCATATTGGAGATACTGGAGTTAAACAAAGCGCGCGCAATCAAACAGAGTCTAAACGTCGAACGAAAGGAAATGGTGAATTATTGCCGTGTTTATGGCTGTACCAATCGGTCAGACTGTGAAAAACATTTGCAGTTTTATAGACTGCCAAAAGTTATTACAAATCAGGGAGAACAATGCCGAAAGTTATTAGAGGAAAGGAGGCGGTTGCGGTTAGCGAAGCTAAACCAGGATCTACAAGGCAAAAATCTAGACAACATTCGAATTTGTTCTGCTCATTTCTTTTTCTATAGTTAAGCATACTTAATAAAATATACTCGAACTATGCTACTTTTTGGTAAGGGATGATATCATACAGTTAAGGTTTGGTTGATTAAAGATGTTACTGCATTACTTACTTTGGCATTCACAACACATCTGTCGCTGATGACTTGATACTGCATCTCCCTCACCCATCCACACACCATCTGGTTATAGGCCTCCAAATTTTATAAGATTTAAGGTCTTCTGCTGTGTATGGGCTTGGCGAGAAAACCAGATAGTTGACGATATCAGGATATGCAATAGACGGAAGACTCTCCAGGTCGTCATTGATCCAAATGAAGGAGTCAATTCGTTTGGATCTGCACCACCAATAAACCTCAACTTTTCCAAATATCGTGCCCTTTGCTGCGGACCAAGTCCTTCCCTGTATGCCTTTGCATCTATAACGCATTTGAGGAGCTTTTCTGTGGTTTCAGACAGTGTTTGCAGTGTTTACCTCCGAGTGCCTCTGGTTTATTGGTGTTGTGTTAACACAACACGAATCTCTGTTAATTTGTTTCCATCCCCCCCATTTCTTATTTCCATTTCAACAGTCCTTGAACCGTTCATCCGTCTCTACCGGTGTCTCACACGCGGAGCCTTTAATGTTTTTACGTCTTCATCCATAAATTCAATTTGGGACCAAAACTTGGTGTAACAAGTGGGAAGGTTGGGACCGCCAAGCTTTCTGATTCTGATAATTACACCGAATACAGGTGAGATGCCAACAGCGAAAGTTCTTCAAGGCTCAAGGAATTAAATACTGGATTCAGGACTAACTTTAGTATTTGATTTGCAATGGATATTCATGACTATCCATGTTTCCTTAGCAACCTTGGTTAAAATCAGCTGAGCTCATTACTACAGCATAGAGCTGGGCGATATGAGATTTTTTCATTTCAGGCGATAACGATATCTATCACGATATAAGCCAAATAACTATATTTGTAAGATTTAAATGTGCCGTTGCTCACAAGTAAAATGTGAAATAATCAGCAGCTTGTTTTTATTTAAATATTTATTTCCCATAATAAGTTCAACAGGGTAGATGTACTTAAGGAACATGAGACTTTTTCAGATAAATAAAGGCAAATATTGCAAACTACACAAAAGGCAGCCGCTAAAGCGTTTAAGTTTCAAAATAGAACAAACGAAACAGACTAAATTGTCAATTCCACTTAGAAACAAAATATTGATTCTAAAAATAAATCTTAGTTTGTTTTACAGAAGAACAGACAAAACTGACTAACTTTTGTCAATATCAAATAAACTGAGAACTAAAAGGAAATTCTCAATCTCTCCTTGTTGTATAGCTGAGCTTTTCAAACAGTTTTAACAGTTACTTTAGTCTGACAAAAGCCGAATGACGAATTAGCGCTTCCAGTCAGACACTGAGGCTACGTCCACACGTACACGGGTATTTTTGAAAACGGAGATTTTCCGTTTTAAAAAATAATCCCGTCCACACATAAAGGCAGAAATGAAGGAAAACGCTGCTATGAACATGCCAAAGCAGCAGGTGGCGCTAGATTCCTAACCGTGCAGAAATGTGCAGAAATCAGAAGTCTAGAAGCCTCGGTGGGAAAAAGTAAACAAAGCTGCGGCATAGAAGCAGAACCGAGTCGTATGTGTGGAGGGACAGTAACTGTGTGTATATGTAAGCATTTAAACACTGCAGAGAGTAGAATTAACAGTAACAGTATTGTAGAAATTCATTTCACCGAAACAATAACGCGGCGCACAGTGTGACGCATGCACCAGTTTATTGTATTTCCAGACTTGCTTTCGGCACAATTTACAGTGCACGCTACTCTGTTTTTTGTCAGACTTGAAATAGCCGAAATACCTTCACACTACGGAACTTCTATGGCTCTTCCGTTCGACAATCTCTCCGGCATTGGAACCATCATCTGTTTTCTCTTCGGTCACGCTCGGTTGATTTTTCTAGTCGGCACACTCATTTCCTCCATTACGCGCTGGCTCCATTACCCGCTGCCTGCTTCCCAAACAAACACACGTGCGGCTTGGCACTTGTGCTGTACGTAACAAGTCACGCGACGTGACGCTGCGGCTGTGATTGGTTCGGCTCTGCGCTACTTAATTTGGATTGGCTGACCTTTTTTTTTTTTTTTTTTTTTAAGAGGACAAGAGCGGCGAGGTCTATCGCGATAGCTTAATTTCTCTATCGAGTAAAAGTTATATCGCGATACATATCGTTATATCGCCCAGCTCTACTACAGCAGCATACTTAAGGCTTTGTAATATGTAACTTTTCATTAACATAAATATCCAATCAGTCAATCACATGACAGCAACTCAATGTACTGAGGCATGCAGACAGTCAAGACAGCTGGCTGAAATTCAGTCTTCTCCTGGGGTATGATACTTCATATGTTTTTGACGGTGGCAACTGGCAAGATGGAGACACAGAAGAAAGTACAGAGAAAGAAAATTAAACTTAAAGTGATAGAGAGGCCAAATAGAAAAAACAGGCAGCGAATGAAAGATGGAACACCGTCCAAGGAACTATTCACCAAGATAAATTGCCATGAAAACAGGTTGGATGGAGACAAAAGAAAATCAAACTGAGGTGTGAGAGAGCAATCAAATATAGATTTGTGGACTGAGGTGAAGATGCACACTGTATGGAAACTTTACGTTCTGCACATTTCAAGAGCTGCAGGACCTCTTAATCAAGACACACAGATTTAGGGTAGTGCACTCATAACGAAACAGCTGAACTCATCAGCCTATCAGGTCTTAGAGTTTATTTTCTTTAAAAACAATTATTGCTCAACCCAAAAACTGACAATCCTCATTTCTTCAGTCTACAGCGAGTCTATAAAGCTATATGTGCATGTAATTAATTATTATTATTTTCTTTTTTGGTCAACGTGGCAACAGAGTTACTGCTAATTTAAACAGGACGTTATCTGCTGCTGTAGCTTTGCACTAAAGCCACACAGCAGTTGAAACAGAGAGTGCCTTTTGCTGTCAGGAAGGTTATAGAAGCACACTATATGACAGCATTTACTGCAGGAATTGTTCATCCAACACACCTAACAGTTAAGACATTTTTATAGATTTGTCACTGACAAGTAATAGAAGGAGTACGCTGCAACCCTATTTCAAAAAGGTTTGTTGCTTTATCTTATTTGAAATTGGCAAGTTTTCGTGTTGTTTTAGTGTACACTGCAAGTTGCATGCAGCAGCTGGTTTGCTGTATTTCAGATGAAGCTGTTTCATTAGGACTTGGTGTTAAAAAGCTCT